TGACTCCATAAATATGCATTCCATTTAATGAGAGCGGCGTTCCAGAGCGCGTGGAAACACGGTTTCGCAGGCGGGTGCAGTCACGTACGGCGCGGACACGCGCACAAAGACCATTGAATTCGCGCATCGTGGCGTGGGCCGCATTGTTGCCGCCACGAGTGTAACACACTCCCCGCCGTCTTCTCGAGTGTCATCGAGATCTCTCGTGTCTAACTCGCGGCGGCAAGGCCAAACCGCCATCGTCATTCAGGCCTCTAGTGCCCTGTTACGAGGAAAACACCCTGCTTCTGATATCTTCTCCCCCTCCCCCGCGATTCCCAACTTCCGCCGCGAATCTAGTATCTCACGGTACCTCTGTCACAATCCTCCCTCTCTCTGTCTCTCTCTCTCTCTCTCTCTCTGTTTCTGAAATCTTGCTACGACACGCTGCGAGGGATGCTCGTCACGAGATTTCACTCTACCGAGTGAAAACACGGTCTTTGTAAAGGAGGATTTTTAGCTTTTGAATTCTCTGAAGCCAAAGAATTTGTAAAGATTTGTAAAAAGATTCCTTGCGATTGGGGAAAATATGTAAGTATGAGTTTTATTCCCTTTCTTTCTTTCTTTGCGAGCCCAACAATGAAGTCGCATAGAGGATCGATAAAAATATAGAAAAGAGTATTTATATATATATATAGAATAAATTTAGAAACGCTTGGTTTGGGAACGAAGCAATTCATGGTTTTGCCTCACGATTATTCTGAATATTCTGTTTCTCCGCGGAGCGAAGAACTCAAGCGCGCCATCTGGCGACGAAAATGTGCGAATAGCAGCACGGCACGTAGGCTCGAGCGATCTGACTACGTAATATGCCTACAAAATTTCTAATTATGATTTCACCGTGAAATATGATATCCAACGAGCGATTGGCTATGAAAATAATAAACCAGAATCGCGCGAGATGCGGATTTGCGTGTTATTTCGCAGCGACAACGTTTATTCGAACATTTCGCGAATCGTGCGATTCTGTACATAAAACTAACGATAAAATAACAAACCGCGTAACGTTTGATTACAATTTTGTTGACACTCATTTCCGCGTATCCAACGCGCACAATGAGAGCCGATAAACCGACATAATTAACGGGTGAAGAATGCAAAGAGCCGGGGGCCGAACTATGTCCAATTAAAAACGATCCCACCCCTCGATATAATTAGTGCGCCGATCAATGGAAACTTGCCACTTAATGCTCCCTGTATGCGCCTTCACGCGATACTGGAACACGTGGAAAAGTGGGCATTGTACCGTTCCGTCAAGTTGAAATCCCTCGAGTGCCATTCACCGGCCTTTCGATTGTCGAAGGAACGGAAGAAGAGAATAATAAGGATTGGTTTTAATTACGAATTTCCACTTTACGGTACAATCGATTATGGAGTGGCTGGGAGAAACTGTTAAAATTGACACAATTCGGGGAGAATGTGCACGCCTCTCGATCCTTATACGCTTATACATTGGTCGTTTATGAAAAGATAAAGATTATTTATTCTGCTTATCTCGTAATGAGCTGTAAAAGTAAACGGATCTAAATACATCGACCATTAATAGATTATAGTATTATTAATATTACGATAATTTAGCATTGGTTTGAAAATTGTTAATATATGTATCCGATAACGATAAAATTAATCGGTTTTTGGTTTTTCATTCTAGTCTGGACTTTAGACTTTTCCTCGAGATTACATCCGTTTATGAAGCAAAAAAAAAGAAGAGAAAAAAGAATCGCAAGGCACGTCGACTGTAAGAATTTTAATAGAAACTTGAGAGAGAGGATGTTGCGAGTTTGCCGCGAAATATTCTCCGCTGGGGGGAAAAAATATATTTTCTTTCGCGAAGAATTAAATTTTTCTTCTCCCCTCTTCTTTTTCTTCGATCATTTTTGCGCTGGAAACCGTTAAAAGAGATCGAGATACTTTTAAAGAAGCGTGAAATTATTCTTATTTCCAACGACTTTAATCGATCCACGAATAATTCACGTTTTATTAATTGTCTCGAGGAGACTTGCTCAAACGACGTTTTACGACCGAGGCTCGAACGATTCAGCAAAAATTCATTGGAGGATCGCGGCGAAAGGGAAGCGGGACTCTCGAGAGTTAAGCGTGACTCGAGTTTTTCAAACGCACAGAGATCATTTGTCACTTGAATATCTATATAAAAATAACCAGACCTAGCTGGCATAGTCGGTCGCGATCTATAAATCAACCGATTCAGCTACATCTTTGGGGAAGCGGTTTCAAAGTCTCGTGACTCGCCACTCTTTTCTCTCTCTCTCTCTCTTTCTTTGATGCATTAAATCTTGTTGCAATCTCGCGCACACGTCGCCACACCTCTACCAACACCGTCGTATCGAGTATATATATATATATTCGAGAACTTCTCTTAAATATTCACTTCTTAAATATTCAAAATTTCAAATTTTCGGGAATAAATTCAGGATAATATCCCACCGGGTGAAACTCGAGCAAGAGATTATTCCTCGCGAACGTTGCATCGAACTACGTGCGTTTAAATTCCTGTCCAAAGAAAGAAAAAGATCACGTTAAAGCAAAAAAAAAAAATTCCAATCTTCTCACGACTCGAGAGCGTTTCGTCGGCCGCGAAAGGCCGCGTAAACACGCTAAACGCTACTACGTCGATTTCGCCATCGGGAAGCCAAGGTTGAAGGATCGCATTATGCAAAAATCCGCGGGGATGAGCCGCGATTACCGCGGGAGATGGCGAAGTTTGCCCCTTGTTGATAGAGATCGAAACGAAGTTGGGTGGTGCCATGGATAAAACGCGTAATCAGTTTTCCTCTCCCTCCCCTCCCCCTCCTCGCTCCATGTAAGATACACGTCGACGCGTTAAAGGGCGGCCGCCCCCTCCCCCCTTGCCATCGAGGGCTAACTTTCTTCGCA